CGTTCGAATGTTAAAGAATTGCTTTTCTTTTTGTCATAATTTGCTTTCATTTTCATCTGCATATCTTCAATTCTCTTAAGTTCTTCCTTTTTAGATACTCTCTTTCACCAGTAATTGCTTTCTTAGGAGATCTGTCTATTCCCTCATTTATCTTAGATTGCTTTACAGATGGATTTACATCTTCCAAAGGTTTATTTCCTTTTGCAATATCTTTCTCTGGTTGTCTTTTATTTTGTTTCTCAACAAACTTCTTTTCATTTTGTTTCTTCACCAGCAAAATTATCTATTACCATTTCTTTTTGTAAACTTTTTTCTTTCCCTGTATTAATAATCTCTTTCTCAAGTGCTGTAATTTTACAATTCTTGCTATATTTCTTATACTTTTGATTATAGTTTTTTCTTGAATAGACTTACATTCTTTAATATCATTGATATCATCACTTCAAGTTTCTTTTTTAGAATATTAATTTTTTTCACTTGTATTCTGTTTAACGATTTTCGTTGAAGTCCTTTTCCTTTTCAGTGACTTTTTACCTTTGGAATTAGTGACTTTTACAGTATTTGGATTTTCAAACTTTCCATCATAATCCAGAGTTGCTGCTGATTCCGGACAGGAATCTTCATCATTTAAATTAGAATTGTCTTCCGATTCCCTTTTATTTTTACAATTTTTAACTATTAATTTGCCATCTTTAAATACTTTTACTTTTTTGTTTGACAAAGTGCTTAACTCTTCAGCTTCAATTAATTCTACTACTTCCACTCTACCGATACACTGATTCTCTTTCAAAATTAAATTTCGATTGCTGTAATTAGTGACTGGTATCACTGTTTCTCCCTCCAATAATGAGCCCAACTCATCTTCCAATCCACTTATTAAAACATAACCATTATTTACTTCATCAGTTTTAACTTTCACAAAATTAACCGTATTACTTTCAATTTCAGTTTCTTGGGAAGCCTTCAGCTTAATTCGTGGAATGTTGATACCATTTTGCAACTGTGAAAATGGACAATCATTAGCATAGCGTACTCCAAGATATTACCTATCTTGGCGTATGCAATATGTGGTAAATCAATCCATGTTCGACCAACTAATAAGTCGCATGGTTGTGTTTCATCTCCTACAATTAGAACTGTAACTCCTTTCTTTTCACATTTTCAACCTCTAAATTAACAGTTACTTTTCCCAATGTTCTAGCGGCTGGTTTACTCTGGTTCCCAAAGCCAAACAATTCCTCTACATCAAGTTTTATAATAAGATTCAGTTTCTTAGCCATAGAGTGTTTCAATAAACACGAACTAGAACCCGTATTTATGATTGCAGTAATTTCTTCTCCATTGTTGATGCGAGTATACTTTAAATATAAAGTTGGTGGACACCTGAATTCTGGTTCACGGATAAATTATTTTTAACATTTGTCAAATCTGAACTCTTAGATGTACACTTTTTAAAAGTATGACCCTTTTCACTACATTTCCTGCAAATAATTTCTTATTTTGGTTGAGGACAATCCGTCGCTATATGTCCATAATCATTACAATTGAAGCATTTCAGCTCACCCTTTTCATTGTGGATACCAGAATTATATTCCCTTTTCCTATCGTCTATTTTATAAAATTTTTCTCTCAAATTGTATTTATTATCAAAATTGTTTTTAAAACCCACTTTGAAATTACCATCTGTCTGCATAGAATCGTTAACATTTCTGGGTCTTGAAAAACTGATTATAGGATCCCTCATAAAATTTAGAACCAAATTTAGGCTTAGGATTATGCCTAAAAGTTTTGTTTTCTACTTGAAGCACTTTTATCCCTGTCGGAATATTTTCATATTTATCTAGTTTTTCAGCCAACTCTTCAGGATTAATGAATTTAGACCAATCATCAATGAAATGATCTCATACAGCAGTGGGGACCCCTTTCTTTAACTGATCCATAATAATAAGCTGTTTTAAAGAGTCAAAATCTGTTACATTAAATCCAGCAAGCCACTCTTCAAAATAATTTTTTAATTCAAACGTGAAGTCCCTCCACATATTACGCAACGTTTTAATATGATCAACGAACTTTTGCCGAAACTGTTCAGGGCTTAAATTTTCTCAGTAGCAGTTGTTCAACATGCTTATAGTCACTAGCTTTTTCTTCTAGGGCAATTAAGGCGTTATTTCATAAGGTAATAGATCCAACAGCTGAGAACCCAATTTTGTTCTTCTAACTCAATATGTCATGCCTGTCTTTCAAATAAGAATAAATAAAAACTTATATCACCTTCATTCAAATCATACTTATGCATTAATTTACTCATATCACAAATATTACTTTTTCAAGTATTAGAAGGAACAGAATCATTTACATTACTACTTCTGATTTCCACTTCTATTTTCAATTTTTCAAGTTCAAATGTTCTTTGCTTAGCTTTTTCTAAAATTTCCATTTCAAGTGTTCTTTGCTTTTCTTTTTCTAAAAGTTCCATCTTTTCCTTTTTGAGTTCAAATGTTCTTTGATTATCTTTTTCTAAAATTTCTAACTTTCCCTGTTTAAACGATCATTTACAACTCAATCTAGTGTTTGTTTAGTAAAGTCTTCGTTATAGTTTTTACTATTCAAAATCATATCCCCTAAGCCTACAATTTTAATATCAGACTACATCAAGTTCTTTGAAGTCACATTTCTTGCCCCTTGCCAAATAAGCCATCTTAGACTTCAATTTTCAAATAATAATACAAAAATTATATTTAAGTTCTTTCCGTGTAATACTTAAACATAACATAAACAGTTTGTAAATGCACATACCTTTCTACCTTCAGTTTTGGCGAGCTTCCGCATTCAGTTTAGGCTTAACGTACATTAAGGCAATACATTGTTAAATCCTAGGTAATAATTCTAGTTAATCCCACTTCTGAAATGTTAGCAATTACTTCCTTTATTCAAAAATATTTCCATCAAATATTACCATTTAAACATTAATTGTTAGATACTTGCTTTATTCTGAAACACTGCCATCAAACATTACAGTTTTAAAAAAAACTGTTGTTGCCAATCTGGAAAATATATTTAAAATTAATTAATGTGTTGCGTTTACATATATAAATATTTGAAAAAAAATTATTAGAATTTTATGAAGTGAACGATTCTAACAAACCAGTTTTAGATGTGTGATCTTTCTTCATTTGCCATGATTGTTGGCTGCTGGATTATTTCAGTCCTGCATTATCATAAAATTTTAACTTCCATCTGTGTTATTTTAAAAAGCTATTTCCTTTCACCAAGGATATTTCATTTTTACTGAAAGAATTTCATAGTGATTTTTTTCGTTATTTGACAACTGTTAAACTCTACGATTCATCTCAATTCCTTCAACAAAATCTTAAGGAAAAAATGTATCTGGCTCAGAATATAATGAATTATAATGCTGAGTGCAGTTCATGGTACAAGATTTCTATTACTGGCACACTTGCACACATTTTGGCTGCTGCCCTGTTAATGGAAGAGTATCAAAATTACAACTATAACATTCTACCTCAATTAAAACAGCACAGGTGCTAAATTATACAAGGTTGTTCAATAAGTTCGCAAAGAGCCAATATTAGACCTAAAACTTCGACGCCATTTTCATATTTGTTCTTTGTTAGGAACATGTAAAAAGTTTCATTTCGATCTGTTAATTTATTCATTGTTTAACCTTCTTTTATATCTAACATGTTGTGGCTTTTTTCAGGTACGGATAAAATTGAGCAACGTGCAGTAATTCTTTGTAAAGAAAGGTTTAAAGGCAATGGAAATTCATACCGAAATGGTGAATGTGATGGATGAATCTGCTCCTTCAAAAACAATGGTTTGCAAGTGGGCTAGTTTATTCAAAAGTGGTCGTACCAGCCTTGAAGATGATCCGTGGGCACAGTGAGCAATATTTGAGTGTTAATTTGGGTTTCAAAAACTCTGTGCAAAATGGGTGCCACATTCTCTAACGATGGAGCAAAAACACATTCGGATGCGACTTTGCCAGCAACATTTGGAGCGTTTTAAGAAGAATAAAAGCGACTTTATCCACTGATTTATCACAATGGATGAGACTTCGGTCTACCATCATGATCCTGAATCAAAACAGGAGGCTAAGGAGTGGTGTGAACCCGGCTCTTCAGCGCCGAAGCGAGTTCGTGTGCAAAAATCAACCAAGAATGTGTTAGCATCAGTTTTTTGGGATGTGAAAGGAATTTTGTTTAGATTACCTTCAAACTGGCAAAACAATTAATTCGGATTATTATTGTAACCTTTTGAATCAATTAGACGAAAAAATTCGTGAAAGAAGATCCGGATTACAGAAGAAGAAAATAATTTTCCACCAAGATAACGCACCTGCGCACTCAGCTCAAAAAACCATTGCTAAAATAACTGAATTGAAGTACGAATTGTTGCAACATCCAGCCTATTAGCCAGATTTAGCTCTCTCCGACTTCTGGCTCTTCCCACACCTCAAACAATATCTCCGTGGAAAACAATTTTCTTCAAACGAAGAGGTAATAGCTGCAGTGGAGGGATATTTTGCAGAGCTGTCGAAAAACCACTACAGTCAAGGGATCCATAAATTAGAAGACCATTGGAATAAGTGTATTGAAGTTGAGGAAAACTATGTTGAAAAATATTCATTTTTACAAATAAAAATTGGTTTCTTCATTTCCGTTCCGCGAACTTATTGAACAATCTGGTATATAGAGGTTTAGTGACTTCTGCAAAAAATATTGCTTGGTAATAGTTAACAAAATATTCAATGGAAATGGTAGCTTCCTTCAATACTGAATGAGCAACTTCTTGGTTATAATGGCAAAATTGTCAAAGTCATACATATTGCACGTATAAGAGGCTGAGCAGATTTTAAGCATTGGTGGGATTTTCAGTCTTCTGCCATAGATTGATAGACAAACATAAGACACTATTTTATTTGCATATTGCATATTTAGTGCTACTAACTTTCAAAATATAAATAATTTAAAACTAACTTGATAATAAGTTCCACGATAAAAAATAGGATGCTCTGTTCCATACGTCTCCTCAAACTGCTCAATAAATGTTGTAACATCTCGAATAGGATCAGTTACAGCTGTAAAGAGCATTTATTTAGAAAACATACACATGGTTATACACTGGTCATCAAAATTAAAGAATAAAAATGGAAATGAAATGTAACTGATACTTAATGAAAAATTATGTATAGAAATTTGTAAAAGCATTAACATAAATTACAATATTTGGCAAATGATTATTCACAAAATATTGAAATTAAAACCAAATTTATGGAAAAAATGTGTCTTCAATATGGTGTATGGTTACATCAGACAGATATGCATACTTCCCATCTTGATTTCATAGACTTACTTAAGTGTTGAACACGTCTTGTGGAACTACACGCCACTATTCTAAAAGTGACCGTTTCAGCTACTGGAGGATCCAAGGAGAAATCTGGCAAACTGAAATTCGGCACCCTAATATGCTAATTCCACATATGCTCAATCGGGTGAGTAAGGTGGCCAATCCATTCGAGTGACATCTTCTGCTTGCAAGTATTCTAACACCAAATATACTGGATGAGGCCAAGCATTGTCATCCATTAGCAAAAGCTCTGGGAAAACAGTATAACTTGCATTTCCAGTACATCGTTCACATATTTCTGAGTGGTTAGAGAACCTCCTTGAAAGCTATGCAGCTCGGTGCACCATTTGTCACGATTCCTCCCCAAATCATTAAACTGCAGTCACAGAAAGGAGATATTTTATAGATAAGGGAATGCAAGTTTTGTGTTCCTTTCTCTCTCAAGATCAAATCATATCTAGAATCACTGTTTAGACTAACTATAAATGGACTCGTCAATAAACCATACTCTTGCCCAGTCATCTTGGATCCATTGAACATGATGACAACACCAGTTTAAAAGGGCCTCTTTGGAAGCTTGGGTGAGTGGGATACATACCACTGGTTTTCTCAGTTCCACCTCATTAAGCCTTCGTGCAGCAGTAAAACGGCTAATTCAAACTTTTGTGGCAGCCCAAAGGGCTAAAACCTAATCTCTAGTAGTTGCTTTGTACTTTTTTTTAGCTGAAAATGACAGACAACAGCCTTATGATGCAGTTATTGCTCTTGGTTGCCTTTGACCAGGCTGCCATATTAGGCTGCCAATTAATTTAAAAATTAATACCACTCCCCTTTATGAGAAAAATCCCGGCCAAACTGGTCAAAATCAAATGGTTTGCTCAAAAGACCATTTTTTGAATTATTTCCAAGAAGCAAAGAAATAAAATAAAAAATTTTAGATTGAAATATGCAGCAATCCCACTAGGGGAATTTTTTTTTTTTTTTTTTTTTTTTTTTAAATAATGCCTCTCTTCCAGTAAAATCAAAAAATAAATTTCAAAGAATGCTGTACTTTCATTCCTTTCTTTTCGAACAATATATTATTTTTATTCTAAAATGTACAACCTAAAGTTATCAGAGACATTTAACATTCCAGGACTGGTATCACACAGATTCCAACTTTCGAGAAAAGCTATTAGTAATACTTAACTGAATTATAGCTGTGGCAATCAAACATTCTACAGATTGGAAGGAAAAGATTTAATAGCATAAACTGGATGTTGCACTATATGAATGGAACATTGCTAACAATTTTGCACATGAAGTAAAAGATTAAAAAATAAGATGCATTTACCTATATTAATGTTCCTAACTGCCAATGCAAACTTTGATGCCCATTTTGCTACAACCAGCTCTCCAGGACTAAACTTATTCTGGTAACAAACAGTTCTGTGACTAAATTATTTCACTTTCTACACAACAAGTGCACGCCACATCAATTCGAAGTTCAGTGCGATATACTTCAGATATTCTAAGCATGTGTATAAAGAAAATGGCAAAAGTGCCTTTGCAAAAATAAATTTTTCTATTGAAAGCTACAAACTTTCTTTACAATTCTTATCATGGTACTTGCATTAACACAAGCAAAGTTGACAGTTTTTCCAAAATATACACTTCTGAGGGAAAATGTTCTTGAAGACAATGAAAATTCTTTCCTATAAATTATCACAGGATACCAGCTATGACAAGAATGATCATTACTTTGCATCCAGCCTTGGATGCAAAGTAAAATAACAACAGAGTACTATTTTACAGAACTCGTACGGTAATCTGAATTACTGTCAACAGCTTACACAAACGGTGCACATTACAGCCTTTAAATTATTTCCTTTCTTGTAGAATACACCATATGCTTAATCAGAACAGCTGGCTTTAGTCCTTCCATGTGACATTTTTTCTGCTAGGGTAGAATTGAGAAACACTGGTATTTAAAAATATATATATACACAACTGAAACACTATGCTCCACTAGAAATGATGAAATAAGAGCTCCACATTTATAACAGAACTGTCATCATTCCTTACGAAAAATGATGATATTTCCTTTCAAGTAGATTTTATTTTCATGTAGTACTGCTGTTTATTAGATTACATGTGCCACCTGCAGTCATCACGATCACCTTGAACGGCTGAAAAATTAAAATTGCACACTTGACACAATGCATAGTTTTCTGAAAATTTTGAAGTAAACATGCCTACTCTATAACCATATAACATAAACTATAACACTCTTTGTATTTTTGAAAAAATTTTTGTCTCTTTGAAAGCAATATTGTAAGTATATTTGTTACAAGAGATTTTAATAATCTAAAGTCTGACAGCTCACAAAATACATGCAAATGATGTCAGCACAACAGTTTAAAACAACCTGATACATCGACTGTGATATCAGTATAATTGTTAGAGTCAATGTGATATATCAATCATAATATTAGCTTAACTGCAAGCTTTGACCTTTCACTTCTGCTCGCTCACATAGAACAGTCATGTGATTCAAATATGGCCCATTCCATAGCAGTTTTTGTCACACCAGTAATTCCTTAACAGAGGATGCAATTCAGTAATTATAGAAAATATTTAACAGTTGCTCCTTTGGTATCAACTAAGGTATTAAGAAAAATTAATATCACTTTCATACTTCACATTTTTGGAAGGGAACAGAAAACGTTCAGATCATGTACATGCATGCTCCAAACAGAGTCTGGAAATTTTCATCTCTAAAACATCTATACAAAAGCCAAATTAAAATATCACCTCTGTTAATCATGTCACTCCATTAGTAACTTGGTATGAAATCATCCATAACTAAACACATTACAAAGTCTTTAATCCGGACTCGTAGGGACTTCAGCGTTCCGGATTAGGAGTTTTTCTGGATTATAGATCATCAATTTAAATTTGGTAAGATGGCATGCAGAAATTATACAATTAAAAATATGAAACCGTCATTTATGAAATAAATAGCAATTCTGATCTAAAGCGTATCAAAATTTACAAAAAAAAAAAAAAAAAAAGCTTAATATTTATTGTTTACTTTATTAAACATTTCTTTCACCGCGCGCATGCGTAAAGCATACATTACGCATAGTTGAAATTAGAAAATTGCAACCAGAAAACTATTTGATGCGTATTCGTGATATTAATAATGATGGGGAAATTGATTTAAATCTTATCGGAGTACATCGAGATGAAACACTACATTTAGTAAGGAATTATAAGCAGAATAAAATAAAAACATCTGCCCTGAAGATGAGGATAGTGCTGACAGATCAACTTCCAGTTCATTGCGCGCCGCGATGCCCCCCCCCCAAGACCAGCGTGAAATTGATAAACTGATTTCGGAATGGTTAGAGAAACAAATCACCTCTCTGTCACTTTCTTAATGCCTTTATCCATTTTTTGCAGCAATTCCACTTTTTGTTTCATGGACATAGAAACATGCTTTTGCTTTGTAGATACTTCGGCAGCTCCAGAATCGGAAACTCTTTTTGACAGAATCGAAAGTTCAAGCTTACTTTTTATAAAATTGCTCTAACAGTCTGCAAAAAATAATAAGCCGGATCCAATTAGAAGATTAAGGAACAACGCAATCTGCAACATTAACTGAAGTAGATAATTAGATCATTTTAGCCTAGCTTATACCATCCTTTATACATTAAACATGCATGCGTAAAGGTATGCGCATGCGTTTACGCATGTGCAGAAAGTTTGTAGCTTTGAGGTCCGGATTATAGATCATTCCGGATTATGAAGTCCGGATTAAAGACTTTATACTGTACTGCATACTATAATAACTATATACTAGATACTAATAATCATCTATAACTAAATACAAGTTTGAAATACTACATAGTGGAATAATGTCATTTAAAAATTTTTTACTCATATCTGAAATAACATTGTTATTACTTACTTCTTCGAGGATCTGCTCTGATAAAACTCACTAAAATGGTAAGAAAATAAAAATAATTAGAGAAAAATCATTTAATAATATATTAGAATATAAATTAAGTACACTAGCTTAAAAATGCCTAGTACTTGTGTATTATCCAATATTGAGAATTTTGCAGGATGCCAAATGACAATATCTGCCTTCTGGCTATATGTTAAATGTTTACATTTTCCTTTCAGACTTTCAGTCTTGTTCTTTAATTAACCCTCCAAGATGTTTTGCCTTTGTAGTTTCTTCGAGGGCCTCAGACATTTCAAAAGTACTGAAATGCTAGCCATCAGGTTTTGCAGAAATATGAAATATTAGCAAAATTTTAAGAATGCTTTTAGATGATAGTTTCCTAATGTGGGGGTATTTATCAACTATTTGCAGACATTCAGAACAACTTCAGGGCCTTACAGATCCAAGAAAGTGTTGGGAAGCAAATGGGAACTAAGGACAAGTTGGAAAAATTACTATCTAAGCACTTTAGATGAAAACATTTTAACATTCCTTTAATCATACAAATATTACTATGAAGCATTATTACAAGATTCATATCATATTAAATCATGCCAGTAAATAAATCCTTTACATATGTTTTTCCCAAGTTGCATATACATTTATTTTTCTATTTGAAGGAAGAAAAGTATAATAATATAAAATCATGATCTTAGATTAGGTATCCAGTACATCCAAAACATGCAAGTGGGCATACCTTTTTAATATACACCAGGAGTTATCAACCGGTGGTACGCAAAGGAAAAGTATTTTTAACTATTAAATTCAAAAATCTCGTAAAGAAAAAGAAAAAAATGATAGAAATTTCCTGTGATCGAACTTGAACTGCAGATTTCAAAAATAATACACTTGTTAACTTTTGTCTGAACTGAAAAGTAACTTTAAAGGCATTTCAAATAAAGCTATTAAATTTTTATTGCCTTTTTTGCACAACCTTTTGTGTGTGTGTGTGTGAACAAGGATTTTCTTTCATGTTATATTTAAAATTTAAATACAGAACAAAATTAAAAGTGGATCCTAATTTATGGTTAAAACTAAGTGAAATAAGACCAGCCAGAAAGAAATTTGTCTCTCTTAAACAGGCCCAAATGCACTAAATTTTAGAATTAAAGTAATATAACTTAAATTTTGATAATAAAAATGGTAACCCATTTTTAATCTAAAATATTTTTTATATATGCATATTTAATACAAATAGCCAATAGGTTGTGGAAATGACAAAACATATTTATTTTTAATATTTCTATTGAGAAATTGAAAAATAATCATTGCAAAATGTAGCGGTGGTACTTAAGTTTTCCAGTTTTTATTTAGATGGTACGCGTTAGTCGAAAGGTTGAAAACTGCTTATACCATATACCATTATACATACTGTACTAGTAATCTATGCACTGTTGTCAGGTTTATAAATACTTTAATCATTACCATTATGTTCCATTTTTGCATGAAACGTTTTAATAAATAATTTGATGAAGTGCAAAACCAGTTACTATTGAAAAATTCTTTGTAACAAGGATATGAGGGAGCCTTGGAGACCCCCCCCCAAAAAAAAAACTTTGAAAAAGAAGGGAATAAAACGGTTAGGAAATTAAACATAAGAATAAAGTTAAAATCAATTAAAAGAAGGATCATATTAAAACATGATTCGAAAAAGCAGATAAATAATAAGAATGAAATTAGAGAATTTGAAGAAAAACAGATCACATTTACAATAACTGAATTTAAATTTGCTTTCAAAATTAAGAGATTCCCCCCCCCAAAAAAAGGCCAAGCAGAATTTAATGAAATTTTGTATGAATTCAGTAGTTTTATATTATATAATAATACACATACCCATCAAGACCATGAGCAATGCTCAAAAAAGCAGAAATGTCCAAAACTGGCACTGTGCTTGAAATAAAGCTGACTGATGGTAGAGTCACCTCTATATACGCCACATAGCAAAATAACCGCACTTTTTAGTGAGACAATCAATGAGTTTCTTAGCCACTGCTGTACTAAAAAGCAGTTCTTAGCTCCTGAATGATTCTTGGAGGTAGTTAGTGAATTGCAATTACCATTCCAAATACATCAAACATGTTCAGTTAGGTTCAGATCTGAAAATCTAACAAACCAAGGCTTCTGATGAATACCTTTACTTTATTTCAAAGTACACTAGTTCAGCCCCATGTGGATGAGTATTGTCATCCATAAAAAAAAAAAAAAAAAAAAGCAGCCAACTGTACATCTGCAAAGTTTCGTGCAGAACTCGGAAATCTCCTCTCTGTACATCTGAGCAGTCAAGGCCTTTCAAATATGCACATGTGCAGTCATCCTGCTTGCCCTCATCAAAACATCTCTGTAATAAGAGAAAAACATCAGAGACTGCTGTTTTCTTCAGCATGCTGACTTGTGTGAATGCAAATAGCAGGTTTTCTGCAGAAAACCCCTCTTTTGAGAAACCTTTGGGAAAAAATAACTCTTCAAACTTATGTTCCAGTGGCAGCAGATTGCTTGTATGTTAGAGCAACTGGCTGAAAATGCTAAATACTAAACTGCACTGAACATTCTGCCTTCAAGGCACTCTAAATCAGACAATTTCAATATGAATACATTCCCCTGAAACTGTTTTTACAAATTGAAGATGATACTAGGCACCACAATGAGCTCTCTTAAAAGCCTAAATTTGGAATGTTCAGCCTCCAATCTACCAATGATTATCATTCCATCATTTAAATTGATGGTTACTTGTTCTATTGAACAGCTTATGGAATTAAAAAAATTCTGCAATAAACATTTCGATTATTACCAATGCATATAGATGAAGTAAGGGTTGAAGAATATACGACTGCTTTTTATACTCATCACTGTTGCAGCATCACCTAAATATACACCGATATCTTGACAACTTTTTAAGATATCTCTAGGAGAAACAGAGCAAATATTAGATACCGAACATATAATTATTATTTATGCATATGTTTTTCCTGTTCTGTTTAAAGATTTGAGTGTTCTTTTTCTGTAATTTTTGCTGTTTTCATATTGTGCCATTATTAATTCTTGGAACTGCCTAACAAATTTCAAGGGGTGGCAACTTGGCAGCCAAGGCAAATTAAATATTCATTACTCCCTCCTACCCTGTAAAGGTTATGCAGCCACAAACAAACTGGCAAACTACTCATATCTTTTCAAGAACATTTACATTTTGTATAGCTTCGTGGTAAAAAGAGAAGCAGCAGACTATCTAGGCCAAAGTGCAGAAAGGAAGTGTCTTGAATCAGAATGAAATCTTACTTCAGAATTAGTTTCAGCTTTCAGTATATTTGATCTGTAATTAATAACGCTATAAAATTATTATTGGCTGTTTACAATTTAGTTCCATTTACATCACCAGCACTATGTAAGAGTCAAATGACATGGATTAATCTCAAAATGATGCAGTGCAGAAAAAGGTTTTACTATTTTTAGAATAGAGAAGAGAAATTCCAAAATTAAAATTAAGGGGCTATTGTTAATTTAAACACACACACACACAAATAAAACTAGGAATGGAACTTTAAAAAGTCTGCATTACTACACTAGACAATGATGCAAAATATCTTCATTCCCAAAATCATTTGCAAAATTACTTTTACATCATATTAAGCTCCAAATAGTAGGTTTGTCCCAGAAAAATGTGAAGTATCATTTGTTTGAAAATATAACGTAAATACAGCTTCATAACGTACAGTATTTATTTCTTAAAGTATAGATAAATAATTACAGATATAATTCCTTACCAAGACTTCAACAAATTAGTATTTCTTGATCTTCTTAATGAAATAAAATTAAATGCAACTACTAAGATACTAAAATCATTTCTGTTACACTGATAAGTGCCCTGAATATATTTAAATATATATGTTGTAAACTAATGCATTTTCTACAACAAATTCCTATTAAAAATTGAACTTCATTAAAGTCATGAATATTAATTAAATTAACATTATAAAAATATGTTATTTATGCTTAGAAGAAATTGAAAATATAGTTTTGAATGATAAATATGCTGCACAAAAGGCTTCCCCCCCAAATTGCAAAACTAGACAAAACTATAACCCTTTTATATCAGCAGTCATGAATACATACATTGTTTTTCATTTTTTATTACACTTTTCAGCTATTAATAATTTTCAAGATTTCATTCTTGTACATTATTCAAATATTCATTTCAAAACAATGTTTTAAAATTTTCCTCACTGTTTATTAATGGTTATGGGAATTTCAATGTACTTTTACTTCAAACCACTTGTAGTTTTTAATTACAAAATTCAGATGAATAAAAATACAGAAAAATATCTACCTATTATAAGAAACAAAGATGATAAAAAAATAAGCATTAATTATGCATTTCTGTTGTTAAAATATAAAATACACAGATACTCACATGCATATCTTGCTAACCTTACTAATGCGGAATACACAAATTGGAAAGGGAAAGATATAAATAAAAAACTCCATCCTAATAAACCAGTAGGCTGCCACGATCGAACAGCAAGAAATACTCTGCAAAAATCAAACAAAATTTACAAATAATAAACGTGTTTAACTATACATGGTAATTCAAATATATATGGCAAAAATACAAAGACAGATAGATGTAACAAAAATAAGCAGATTTGGTAATGTGCAGAAAGGGTAGTTAAATGCTGGTACAGAAAAAAAAAAAACATGTACAGAGGGTAAGCAAAAAAAGTAAAAAGAAATAAACACTGCAATGATTCAGCTTTTCAAAACCGGTGCTAAATAATGCAATAACAGTAATACAAGATTCACAATGGTAGTGGTACTCTTCTGTTATTGGGACAGGATTAAAAGATAGTATATGCATATATGCATGTGCATATGTATCAGCATAAATGTGTGTGTATAAACACATACATACATACATGCATACAATGAACACATATATACAGATATATATACATACATGCATTTTTAAATATGGTTCTGATAACAGAAGAGTACCATGGCAGTTGTTATGCTTGAACATTTAGGGATTCGGTATCAGCCTTCTACAAAGCTGCTCTCTGCATAGCCTGCAGCTGTTCTGGTACCATCCATAGCTTTGTAAATAAAACACATATTGGTGTATGCATTTGTATAGTATACAGAGCAAGATTCTGACTAACCTACAAAAATTTTACATAATAAACATAATAAAACTTTGACAGATGCACTCAGACATTTTGTTTTAGAACATACATTATTTAGTACTTTTTGGTCATACATCTGCCACTTACAAGAGAAACCAAATACATGCTGAGACCCAACAACAGCACGAGACCCAACAACAGCACCGAGACCCAACAACAGCACCGAGACCTAACAACAACACCGGCTGTGCAATCGGAAAGTACACATTTTTTTGTACCATGATTTTTCAACTCTAAGGTAAAACATTTTTTTTTTTTTCCCTAAAAGCCTCATTTCCAGTATAAAAAGTACTAATCATAATTAATGCTGATTAATAATAGAGGAATAAAACCACTGAAAAATTTGTGTTCTCTTTAGACCCCAAATTCCAATAACAAAATTAGATAATTTCCCATCTACTTATAAAACAGCATACTCAGGGCAATCATATTACTTACAAAAAATAGCACTGATTCCAAAGACTAATAGAATGCTAATAGAATATACTAATAGAATGTGTGGTGCAGATTTGTTAACTTAAAACACTTTACCAAATACATAATGTGCAGAAGTGTACTTACTAGATATTTAGTAAAAACCAAATCTATAGAGGCTCCTATAATTTAGTCACTGTATACATGATTACTTAAAAGATTCATTATTGTTGTTGTTATTATTACTACAGTACAAGATCTGAGATCTGGAACATCAGAATTTTGGTAATTCAGACTGGCTGTGTGGATGTTTTCATGGTTTTCCCCACATGTAACGTGGATATGAAGCAGTTCTCTTAAAGTCCTCCATGCAGCATCAGCTACCTCCCTTTGGTGTATATCATTATGTGCACAGACATAATCAATTTTAAAAGAATCTCTTGAGTGAAATTCTTAAAGTTACTACACCTGTCATTAGCTGCTCCTCTTTCACTAATGATTTTCACAGCAGCAGCCAAAAAATTTCCAAATCATAGAAAGAAAATATTCTTTTCATAAAGTTCTATATGTAAAGGGTATAGCAACCTTAACTGACTAGGTTCTGACTTGATGTTGTGAGTATTCAATGTTTAATGCTCATTGAACGAAACAAATACTACACTTACATCACGCATGTGTGATGTTACTGTATGACAAAAAAATTTCATAAACCTCGGCACTTGCTTTCTGACGCAAACAGTAAACAGACGTCATCCAATACTCATTTAATTTGCAACAACAAAATAAACTATAAAATTACACAGTATGAAAATGCTAAACAAATATTACAATTTAATTTTAATAACTATTTCATTAAGTTAAAAATATTTTAATGAAATGGCTCTGACAAATCAATGTGAATTAGGTAGTAAATCCCCCCATTGCCTTCAAAATTTTAATTCAAGCAATATAAGAGTCTTACAGGAGCTTAAACTTGTGCACAGTATTTCATGTCACTATATCAGTGAGTATTTCAATTCCATCAGAATAAAACTTCCATTTCTAATGATGATAAATGAAGGAAGTTAACATTTTCACTCCAAATAAGAGACATTGAAATGTCTGAAGAGATACCTAATGCAACAAAGAAATCTTTTAGAAAACACTTTAGAATTCCTGCAATTATGAATGTAAAGGGGATTGCATATACGAAATTCATTCTAAGAAACAAACCAGAATTTCAGGTAAGAAATTCAATAAATAAGAAATCATACTTGTGCAATAGTTTAAAAATAATCACACCTCAGGTCTATCTGTTAGCTATAAATTGCCAAAAAAGGAATCAGCATTCAGATGAGAGAAAGCAGCCATCTAATTTTTTTTTTTTTTTTTTTTTGACAGAAAAACACATACTTTTCGGTTAATGAGGTGTCAATCACAATTGCGTGTCAAAGTGCCAATGTTTATTTCTGTTTATTTCACTTCATCAGTAGCTACGGAATTATCATTACAAATAACCAAAAAGAATGAACACTGAAACAGTTAATTTTTGCCTTGGATATTTTGAGCTGCTATTTCATTAAACTGATCACTTTTTCCCCCATTTAAAGAATCAATATAGATTACATTGTTTGGCAACTGCCAAATGATAAAGTGTTTCAATTAAATTCTTCAAAGACAATCCTTCGATAAATCCATGAGTAAGCTTCAATCACTCAATTCTGAGATTAATTATTATATAAAAGTTCATAACAAGAAAGCTTTAATACAGGGCTGGCTAAAGTGCGGCTCGCGAGCCTGATACGACTCACAGGCAATTTGTGTGGCTCATGCATATAAAATATATGTATGAAATATGTAAACTAAAACTATTCAGTGTCCAAAAAGAAGTAATTTATTAGTTTAGACTCATTTTACAAAGTTATCAGGGATTTCTTTCTATTTAAAACCTCCTCCATTACTTCTATAATGATGTAAATATGAACTTGTGGCTTTTAGAAAATCTCGATGCGGCTGTCGAACATTATTGAATTCAAACGTACGGCTCTTACTGACATGAAGTTTGGCCAACCCTGCTCTAATACATGAAATTTTAATTACTGTAGATGTGAATCCATACTTGACTTCAATAGTTATTCATTTTATAATGTCCATAGCTATTCATACATGTTCATACGTCATAAAATCTATCCAAACTAGTCCCAATTTCATTCATAAAAATCTACCCAAAATGGGGGGAAAATCACTAAATGTATTAACTAATATTTCATAGAAGCAGGCTATTTTTCTTCAGAAAACTGAAGAAATACCTACCAATAATGAATGAAAAGCTGATAATAATAAAAAAAATACTTTACAGGTGGACAGATAAGTTTTGAAAAAATTACAAAATGTAGTAACAAATGAACTTAGAGATGTTTAACATTGCAGAACTTAAAGATATCAATGCAAATGCAGTAACAGATGAACTTAAGAGATGTTTGAGAGCAATTCCAGTTTAATTCTACATATTAATAATAAAGAAGAAAGGCATAACAGAAAACATTTAATGAAAAATCCTGCAAAAAGGAATATCCAAAAATTTTTCATCACTATATTCAGCATAAATGATTTATTTTGCTGAATATACATTCTACCTTCATAGAATACTATATTTTTTTCCCTTTTCTTAAAATAACCCCCTTGAATCACAATTTCACACAATTATATTTTTAAAACAGCATAAATCTTTGAAAAATTTTCTTAACATGATTTCTACACTGCAAAATATGCAGTGAATATTTATACCAGCTTTGGCTTTAAACTTAAATGTTAAACAAGAAAAATGGAATTTTTTCTTTAATAAATACATAAGTTTAATACCAAGATAAAATAATCTGAAGAAAATTCATTAGAAATTATGCTTCATGGAAATTTAAAAAAATAATAATAATTAGTGAGTACTTGCATAATTTATTAACCTTTCCATTTACACACACACACACACACACAAACACAAAAAAAAAAAAAAAAAAAAAAATTGCAAGTAAACCAATGGCATGCCGATTTCATATAAGGGGACTACATATGAAGAAAAATTATAAGTCTCACTAAGGTGACCCTGCACCAACAGTGGTGGTGGTCATCTCACAGAGGTGAAATTCAGTACTAATATTCATTATTTTTGCAGAAATAGGTACTGACATATTAATACAACCACCTCAGTAGAAGTTATGAAATTTTCAGAATGAGTGAAACTCTCGCAACTATACACAAAACCATTCTTCCGACTACCATATTCATTATAATGATTCAATCAAAGTGGTACCACCATATTCATATGCGTTCTTTTTTATTGTGTTACAAGTTCTAATGGTTTTTATGCACAAATAATGATATTTTTTGCCTTAATCTTAGTTTTAAAATATAAGCTTCTGGAATTTGCCAGCAATGGAAGAAATGGGAGTAGGGAGTAAAATTACTGCAGGAATACAGAATTTTGCTGAAAATTTTCCAAAGAGAACAACAATGAAATGCATTTCCTAGATAGCCACTGTTGCCAAGGTTTACCGCACAAAGCAGAGTCTCTAGAATTCTCTGATGTTTTTTAAGTGAAAACCAATCATTGTGTTCTTCAAGAGAATAGCATAAAAAAGTTATTTAATGATTAAACTTTGTATTTTAAATTACTAAAGTATGTTTAATTTTCATATGTTGATTATGTTTATCGACTTACTATAAATATCGATAGTTCGGGAATCTTCCAAAAAAAAGACATGAAAAACACCAACTGGCACCCGATAAGTAACTTCTACCCTTTCATCCGTAAATAATCATAATATTGCACCAAGATGATTACATTAATACATAAGTTCCCAGAAATGCTTGAACTTTTAGGCATGATCATAACGTTATGCTTTACAGTAGTTTGAATATAAAGACTAATGATATAACTTGAAAAATAAGGAATTCAATAATGGTTAAAGTGTTCTGATAAATTTATGAAAGTGGGATAAAGAGAGGAAGTCAAAATGATCTTACCATAATAAATAAGTATTTTTTTAATTTGTTGAATATCATAAAAGTAAATAATTAGTTAAAATATGTTATCTCAAAAAGAGTACAAAGCCAGGAAAACATTATTTATTTTTCATATCATTAATCATTTTGAAATTATATCATATTCCATTTTAGTATAACAGGTATGTTTCAAGCTTGTACAAATAAGAACAAATAAGATCTATCTTTTGTCATTATTTTTGTGTCTTCAGGTAAAACAGATAGTCCTTACTTGCACAGAACAGCACGACCTAAGCTAATCCCATTCCCATCAATAAGCCAACTGCACTCAAATAGCATGTGGTTTCAAAAGCAGTAAAATTAGGCACCTTTCAATCCCTTTTAACAGGTTAAATTAAAAAAAAAAAAAAAAAAAAAAAAAAAACTTGAAAGTGTTAATGCATAGAGTATTTGGGGACTAGCCTAGTCCCTCTGCTAATGGCATGCTAATGAAGTTGACTGATTATTCAAACTTTTTTTAATAAAGTACATAAAACACACAGCATGTTCAAATTCAGTGCATTGGTTCAGAATTTATATTGCCAATTGCATATTAAGCCAAAGATTATTCATCAGACTATCAAATAATGTTTCTTCTATAAATGCATTTTTTTTTTTTTTTCATATTCTTTGGTGCACCTTTCAGCACTAATTAATCAATACTTATTGATGTTTTTCTTAGTATCTTAGCTCATGAAGACCATTATATCAAAGACTGTTATTTATTTCAAATAATCCATAAAGAGAATTAAATTATTTCATAGATTTTAAACAGTACATTAAATATTCTTTACAGAAACAGACATGAGTGGGATTATACCAAACCTTTGGTCTGGTGGGCTGGCAACTACTGATGGAGGAGTTCTAGGTAAAGGTCTGTAAACTGAGGGAGCACCTTCTCGCATGTTAAGAGTAACTTGTGTAGCTACCTAGAATAAATAAAAGTATACAAGCATTAGCCAAAAAAGTTACAATAATTACTCAATTAAGTTCAAAATATAAAATTTATTAATTTTTTTTTTTTTTCAAAAATAAGAGAATAATTTCTTAGATATTCGAGTTTTATGGTACATATGTGTTATCCTTATGACCATAAAACTGTCACCAAGCAGCAAGATTCAGCACCAGTAATGGATACACATGACATCAAAACAGACACATAACATCTACACTTTTGTTTTTTCATTCTCAATAAGCAACCATTATTTTTTTATAAATAAGGATATAAATCAACAGTCATTGTTGTATCTTTTTCTCGCATTTTGAATGAAAAAAGGGTCAAAGGCTGTAAAATCACATTTGAGACTGATCTCCAGTTCATTTACAGCTAGCTGAGAGAATTAACAGTATTTTTAAATGAAAAAATCAGTTAAATGAAAAAAGCACAGTTAGATATAGGCAACAAAATAGTAATGAACAATTATTTGTGGGAAATTTGTACTCATAGTAAACCAAACAGAACTTTCTATAAAACTGGAAAGCTTAACAAAAGAGTAGATATCAACAAAGGCCTTTTTTTTTATGAAGTATGTCAAATACTTATGCAGCAGTGGCTATTTGGCGGATTATGCACAGAGCCTAATGAATGTTTTATTTTCAAAGAAGTGTACCTCAGAATAATGGATGCAACTTTGGCGAGATCTCTAAGAACTTTCGGTTAATCTTTGGATTATGGTAACTACGCGATTTTTTGACGAAAATTTGGCGACGAACTCTGCTACAGCAACCCTCTATTTTTTTTCGCCGCCACTTTGTCTTCACGAAGTAAAGACATGTTTCTTTCCTTTTTATTTACTCAACACTTTTTCCAACAATCTGCTAGCCGAATTACACTTATGCTAGAAATTTTAGGGAACAAAACTGCTTAATCATGACAAATATTAACTGCAAAATTGGGAAAAAGTGCAGAATCGCAAACTCCTTGCCGCGTTTTTTTCAGAATTGCATACACAGTAACCATGTACATGTCGACTTATTTTACTTAAAAAAACATCCCAGAATTGCACAAAAATGGCATTGCGCACACTCTTGACTTTATCCATCTACACTGCTATTTTCTCATAAATTACAAAAATTTGCACGAAAATACAGGAAAATTTTGTGAATCTTTAAATTCGGTAAAAAGCACATATATGAAATTACCTGATCGCGAAAAAGTATATATCCTTTCAAGGATGAACATTTCCACGTATAATATAAAAAACATATCCAAAAACTTTTACCTCTAAATTAGCTATTATAAACATCCCCAACGAATTTATAACAAAACATTAAAAATGGTTACAAATACTTAGTGTCAAATATTTAAATTATTTCCATGCACGTTTACTTCAAACTTAAACGTGTTGTACCAAATTCCTACAAACATAAAAATTCACAAAATAAAAACTATCATTTAATTAAAATATCACTACACCATGTACACGTCGACTTATTTTTACTTAAAAAAAAAATCCCAGAATTGCACAAAAATGGCATTGCGCACACTCTTCACTATATCCATGTACACTGCTTTTTTCTCATAAATTAGAAAAATTTCATGAAAATGCATGAAAATTTTGTGAATCTTTAAATTCGGTAAAAAGGACATATATGAAATTACCTGATCGCAAAAAAGTATATACCCTTTCCAAGGATGAACATTTACACGTATAAAATTAAAAAAATATCCAAAAACTTTTCCCTTTAAATTATCTATTATAAACCTCACCTGCCAATTTATAGCACAAACACTAAAAATGGTTCCAAATACTTAGTGTCAAATACTTAAATTCTTTCCACGCACATTTACTTCTACTCAAACGTATTCCAAAATACTACAAACATATAACTCTCAAAATCACGATCATTAAATTAAAATATAATTAAATTAAAAAACACTACTTAAAATATAAATAAGCACATACATTAAAATTAATAAAAATTAGTTTACAATCCTAATTACTACTTTAAACTAAATCATTGCTAATAACAATTTTCCAATAATACCATATTAATTTATTTACTCCTTACATTTAGAACAATGCATAAAAATAATATCCTCAAATAATTAAAAATACTAACTTGCCTAATCTTCTACAGAATCTTGAGTGCATGGCAGATCTCACAAAATGTCCATTTTCACCAGATTTCTTGCACCCCCCATTCAAACTTATCTGTAATATCCTTCCTTTCACACAATCTCATTTCATTCCCACATGTTGGACATTCATACTTATCCACAATTAAGCAATTCTTTTCAATTACACATAAACGCAATAAAAATTTTGGATTTACTTTATATAGGGCCATGGGATCCAAATATTAAACAACACTGTTTCACAGAACACAGAATGAAACTAACGCTATAAAGTACAGCAGATATTTTTACAAATTTACCCCCTTTTCCAATTAAAGAACAGTGATTCGTCCATTAATGTCACATGACATATCTTATGATCTCTCATTTCCCTCACACAAAATAATGCGTAATCAGAACTAAGTACTTCTCACATTATTCCCAAAGTCTTAGGTAGTAACCTTTATCGCATCCAAAATGTCGCCAAACTACCTGTTACCATATTCCAAAGATTAGCCGAACTTTCACAACTTGATGACAAACAATTTTCACAGTTTATGGGATAATGTATAAGTACTGTTCTATAAGCTCACTTAAACATGTTCCATAATGCAAGGTAACCAAAAACGTTCTTGGCGTTTCTGATATGACACTAGAAGAGTGAACCCCAACATAAAAATAGTCACCAAACCTGGCGATGAAGTGGTTAGGATGGGAGTCCGGACATTGACCAAGAGTATAAAAGCACATTGCATCAGTACTTCAAACATAACTCACACAGAGACTGATTGAAATGGACACGGCAAAGGTGCTTGTTCAGAACTGTTTGCTGTATGATTTTAAAGTGGGCCTGTCAGCAGCAGAATAAAGTTGCTGAATTTGCCAGGCCTTTGGGGATGATGCTGTTAATGAACGAACTGCTAGGCAATAGTTCCAGAAGTTCAGGCCAGGAAATATGTCTCTTAGTGATACAAAACGCAGCGGTCAGCCACAAGTGCTAGATGATGAGGCCTTGACAGCAGGCATGGAAAGTGACAGTAGCTAAACATGTGGTAAGCTTGCGGCACATTTCCAGGTATTTGATGAAACAATCAGACTCCATTTGCACCGCACAGGAAAGGTAAACAAGATGAGCAAGTGGGGACTCCGCTGTCCGATGCAAACAATGGTGCGTCGCTGCTTGTTTGTCATTGCTTACTTGGCACCATGATGCATCCATATTTGATCAAGTACATACAGCAATGAAAAGTGGGTCCAGTATGACACACCCAGGCATTCCAGACCTGTGCCTCACGCTGTGAGACCTCACCACCCACACGATCATGCTCTGTATCTGATAGACTAGTTGCCAAGTGGTGCCAACCATCATGGCAGGCCTGTACTTGCAGCAGTTGGAACGTGTGCATCAGACACTGATGCATAAAGAGCCAGCATTGGTAAATCGTAAGAGCATTGGTAAATCGTATCTCTTCCTCCATGACAATACGAGACTGCAAGTGGCTCAGAAGGCCAGCCAGCAACTGGGCTGGGAGACACTACCCCATCCACCACATTCCCCAGACCTTGTGCCATCAGACATGTAATGTGACATTTTCTGGAAAATTCCGATCATGATTTTAGCTAATAAGCACTTAGAAACAATTTTGCTGCTAAAGTGCAGAATCCCCCACTTATTTGTTTGGTACTTTTTACAAGAGTAAGAATAATTGGATTTTTGTCAATTTTCTTTGACCTTTTAAGTGAAAATAGGTCGATGTGTACATAGATAAAGTCAAGAGTGTGCGCAATGCCATTTTTGTGCAATTCTGGGATGTTTTTTTAAGTGAAAATACGTTGACGTGTACATTGATACTGTGTATGTGCAATTGTTAAAAACGCAGCAAGCAGTTTGCGATTCTGCACTTTCTTCCAATTTTGCAACTTATCTTCATCATGATTAAGCATTTTTGTTCCATAAAAGTTCTAGTATAAGCGTAATTCGGCTAGCAGATTGTTGGAAAAAATGTTGAGTAAAAAAAAAACATGCCTTTACTTCGTGAAAACAAAATAGCATCCAAAACAAAACTAGCAGGTTGCTGTAGCAGGGTTGGTCGCCAAAAAATCGCCAAGTTACCACAACTTAAAGATTCACCAAAGTCAATATATAATTTAATTACCACAGCTTTCATTTTTCTCTTCAACTACTAAGTGAGATCATATGGTGAAATACTAATTATAAAAGCATAACCTGGAAGATTTACAAAAACTCAGACATAACTGAATTGTTTCTAAGATCTTCAAAAATCTCATTTTCAATTCCAACAGATTTTATTCAGCAATTAAAAGTTACACTTTCTGAATACAGAAAAGCACATGCCAACTATCTGCTTAAGGAAAGGGATGGGCCAATCTTTGGAATATGGTAACAGGTAGTTTGGAGACATTTTGGTAAGGCGATAAAGGTTACTAGCTAGGACTTTATCTATGTACATGGATAAAGTCAAGAGTGTGCGCAATGCCATTTTTGTGCAATTCTGGGATTTTTTTTAAAGTGAAAATAGGTCGACGGATGGATGGATACCATGTATGTGCAATTCTTACAAATGCGGCAAGCAGTTTGCGATTCTGCACTTTCTCCCAATTTCGAACCTAATCTTTGTCATGATTTAGCACTTTTGTTCCATAAAAGTTCTAGCATAAGCGTAATTCGGCTATCAGATTGTTGGAAAAAAATGTTGAGTTAAAAAAAAGGTTGATCTTTACATTATGGTAACTTGGCGTTTTTTTGGCGAAAATTTGGCAACCGACTCTCCAACAGCAACCCTCTATTTTTTCTTTTCCCGCCGCCATTTTGTCTTCACGAAGTAAAGACACGTTTCTTTTCTTTTTATCTACTGAACACTTCTTCCAACAATCTACTAGCCGAATTACACTTATGCTAGAAATTTTATCTAACAAAACTGCTTAATCATGACAAATATTCACTGCAAAATTGGGAAAAAGTGCACAATACCATACTCCTTGGCGTCCAAACGAAAACTAGCAAGTTGCTGTAGCAGGGTTGGTCGCCAAATTTTCACCAAAAAATCGCTAAGTTACCATAATCCAAAGATTAACCAAGGGATGCTTTCATGGAGGAATTTTAAGGGAAACAAGCATGTGTCCATGTTAGAGATGGAAAATCAAACATGCATTGTGTCATATTCCCATTATTCAGCAGTCTTAATCCCTTGACTAGATGGACATGAAGCACTTATAAACAACAAGCACATTTAGGTTAAAATAACATGCTGGAAAGTGATTATTGGAGAAGTCAAACAACAAGAATCAGTGTTATATTTGTAAAATTTGCAGGACTAGTTTCTATGGTTTTACTATCACAATAAGATTGCTTCTCTTATCACTATATCTTATCTCGTTCATTTGCTCTTTGGCAGATGAGAAAGATGGTTCTATAGTTAAACTATCGAAACTAGTCCTGCAAAATTTACAAATATAACACAGATTCTTATTGTTTGACTTCTCAATTAATCTTTGGATTATGATAACTTGGCGATTTTTTGGCGACCAACCCTGCTACAGCAACCTACTAGTTTTTGTTTGGACGCCATTTTGTTTTCATGAAATAAAGGCAATTTTTTTTTTTTTTTTTTTTTTTTTTTTTAACTCAACGTTTCCAACAATCTGCTAGCCGAATTACGCTTATGCTAGAAGTGCTTAATCATGACGAAGATTAGGTGCGAAATCGGGACAAAGTGCAGAATCGCCCACTGCTTGCCACGTTTTTACAAATTGCACATACACGTTATCCTCCATGTACATGTCGACCTATTTTCACTTAACATCCCCAAATTGCACAAAAGTGGCACTACGCACACTCTTCACTATATCCATGTACAAAGTCCTAGCTAGTAACCTTTATCACCTTACCAAAATGTCACCAAACTACCTGCTACCACATTCCAAAGATTAGCCAACTTCTCCAATAACAAGTATATTATTTAGTTGTCAGTATTATCTGTTATTACAATGATCTTCCAGGATAAAATTAGACCTCATTAGAAATCTCATATTTGTTTTTACTGATCACCAATTTCTGCGACTTTTTATTTCATTATTTCTGATGTTCATAATTAAAAAATAAAACATATCTATAGAAATATCCTAAAGCATAGTGATCTCAGGGATAAGAATTTTAGCAGTGATAATAAAGAGGAGAAGATATTCATGCATAAATATATGTACACTGAATGTTTCTGATTAAAACACACTGCTATGCATTGCACAAAGAACTTTGTTTTAAAAATAAAAACTACATAATTAATACTTACAAATATTAAAAATTCTGAACATACTTTAACTATGTATCAAAGCTTTGGCAAGAACAGCCACACATTTCTAATAACTTTAATTTGAAATAACTACAAAAGTAAAACTCTAATCTCAAACCAAAAATTGGGTACACCAAAATTACCTCTAAATCCCAATTATGTGATTCAAGAATATTTCGACATCTTTCTATATCTTCAATACCAGTCAGATCCTGAAATTAATATTAAAATTTTAATTTTCAACCAAAAAATTCGATTTTCTTTCACAAGCTAGATAATAATGTCATGAACTCCTAAACGTAAACTATTATCATTTCAAAATAAAATTAAATGCACATCACTCTGGTAATCATTTAGTCTAAATTTACCTGTCAGTGAATAAATTCAGTGTATCTTCAAAGGAAAAAGATTTTAATATAACAGAGAAAATTTTAAGAGAAAGAGAAAGCATCTTAAAAGTAGGAAAATTATCAATTCACAAATAGGAAAACAATAAAAATACTGAAAAGTTTCGATATTACTTGATACGTGTAAAACAAGAGTGTGGTAACTTTCTGAAAAAATATTTTGGCATTACAGAACAATATTTATTTGAGATTTTTCAATTAAATCACAGCTGTCACCTGAAATTGCAGCAATTTTTCAGTCTGTTGTGAAGAGAGCTCCACATCCTCCGCCATGGTTAAATAATTTCTGTAGTCATCTTTAGATAATGCCAACTCTCGAAATGTAATTCTCAACTCCTTTTGACTCATCGTAAGCCCAGGTGCTCATCACAGATAATTACAGAAACGGGCGCAAAAGAAGCTCGATGAATAAAAGAACCTTTGTAACATAATGATCGAAGATAAATTCACATCATATTTTTATCACATCATATTTTTATCTTGGACATCCAGCGTTGGTTCTTCAGATCAGATCGGTTGTTGGAATCACCAGCATTTAGCAGAGTCCTGCTTTGACTGCTTGACATGGTTACTTATCCCAGAACAACAGAAGACTGGGATAATCAAAAACTCTCTCATTTGTTTCCATCTACAAAATTATGTAATGAAAAATCACAGGAAGTGTTTTACATTTCTCTTCCAGTGTATGTTAGATCAAATTAAGTTATCATTCTAATAAATGATAAAAATTAGATATGTTTATTCTTAAAAAAGGCTATTTCTCTGACTCCTTTATCATATACATTTCCGAATTATATAAATAAATATAGTATATGAATATAACATTTTTATTTTTGCATTCGACTGTATGCATATATTTTGAATACATTTAAAATATAATATTTTGAATTAAAATTCCTTTCCTTTCGCTTCTTAATTTCAACTTACAACTTCCGGCCAGAACATATTTTTAGAATCACTTGTGAATACAAATTTAAGGAGTAGTATTTAAACGCGAAGTTCTACTGCCTTAGTTAGAGAGAACCAGTGACACGCTTCTGCCTTTTTAGGCTACTCTCTCTTAAGCTATTATTACGTTCGACCGTACTTTAGGCCCTTGATAGGTTCGCAGTTAATCAGCTTTAAGGGGCCAACTTTATTAGAAGTTTGATAGCTTCGGCTATATCTTTTTAGGTAAGATTAGTTAAGTTTAGTTCTTAGTCTCTTAAGTTCAAGCCCGAGTGTCGGCTTTATTGTACAACTCCAAGACGGAGTTCTGTTACACCTTATTGGAATAATAAAGGGTTCTTTCACCCTTCTTACTTGTTGTTTTCTATCCCATGAACTCAAGCGATTATTCGCTTACCAGTTCTTAAGATTCTTCACATTCAACTGTAACTTTAAAATACATAATACAGAATCTTAGAAATTATCAGACCAGATGGAATAGCGAAGAAGACATGTTATATGATATATCTAATTAAAATATATTAATTAGATAAATCATGAAATCATATTAATATTTCATGATAATAATATATTTTAATTACATATATTATGGAAATTATTCTAATACAATAACTTATTAAGGGGGATTGTTGACAAATGTCTTCCTATTCTTTTAACATTAGCAAATTTAGAGACAAAGTATCACATGAAAAAAGCTCAGTGAAGTAATGAAAAAGTCTGCTGCTACATAGAATACATCTTCAAAATTCTGCTACAGTAAAAAAAAAGGGCATGCTTTATCCTATTATTAATAAATATTTGCCGAATATCACTTTTGTTTTTTTAACGTTTTTTTCGATTAGTATCAATATTAAAAAATAGAGGGCACCACTACTCCATACGGACTGATTGTCAATTTCTATTTTGGGGAACATTTAGTTTTTTCTGCGTTAAAATATAATTTTTTACTTCAGGGAACGAAGTAACATTCACCATCATACAATTCATTCATTAAAATGTCATTCTTGCGCAGAAAAATATGCATGTACATCAATTTTGTCTAAAACTTAGTAAACCTAAAACGTAATTGCATCTTTCCCCAAGCAGAAAACTTGGCGAACTTTTTCACGCCATTTGTTGTCGATCGTCTCCAGCTTTGCGTCTGCAGAGCTGAACAGGTTTCACTAACGTACCCTATATTTTTGCCCTCTCCCCCAAGCAATTTAGGACGAAACATTGAATGCTTTCAATAGCCATTTGCAGAATCAGTGGAAATGTTTACTTCCTAGGTCCTTCAGCTAACGAGTCACTCATTGAACGAAAAATTTCTCAAGCGCAATGTTTGTCTGCTAAATATAATTCAAATAATAAATTATTTTACTAATACCATTAATAAATAAATATTCATCTCAGGGTTATGAGAGAACGTCGAAAAATCATTCGATATTTTTTTATGAAGCGTTAAGATTACCTTTAAAACTGTCTCAGTTACCAAGTTGAAATCATTCTACATAAAAACTTGAATGCTGAACTGATGTTTATTTTCGGGTAATTTATAGAACTTAATCATAGAAACTGGAGGCCTTCAAATTATACGTATATTTTCCGAATAATCTCATCATATATTAGGTTAGCACTTCACACTGAATACGTCGAAATTAAGCATAACTGAAACGCTTTTAAAATAGTCTCCTGATATTAGGGATAATATGATATACGTTAAATTTTGCCTCTTCAATAATTCTTATAATATGGCGCTTCTTGTTGAATATTTCAGTATTATCAGTAAGACTAGAATGAACTATGTCATAAGATAGAATTTATCTTTAGACAGTACAGAAAAAGTTATTACTATTTTGTTTTACTCAAAATTAAAATTAGAAGTGCAGTGAGAGAATATGTGTATGTAGAAGACACATATTTAAATCATAATTTACACCCACCCACGTGGTATATAGAGGTAACACACATAGTAAAAGGGAGGTTTTTCCAGAAATGAGTCAAATCATCATCGCTTAGAAAAAATTATAAAACGTGACACAATTTAGAAAAGGCTATAACTACTTTATTTGTTTTTGTAATACTATAGAGAGCTTAACTCAAATGAGATCATAATGTTTGTGTGTCGAACTCCATTTTAATCATAATTTATTTATAGATGTTTTAATCTTATACATGTAAAGCAAAAAAATGAAAGGGGGGAGACAGAACTCTTTATTAAACATGCCAATAATTTAAACTTAATAAGACCTTTCTCAAAGCGTATTTGTCTCCTAATGGATGGGAGTAAAAAATATTTAAAAAAAATTTATTACTCTGGATCAGATAGGAGTCTTTCTTTACTTATAAAAATAGCTATTTAAGAAAGAAAACATATTGTGAGTTGGATCCTTAAGTATAAAACAAACCCATTTTCTTTAAGAAGATCTTTAAGTACAAAACAGAACGGGAAGCGGAAACTCCCTTCTTAGCTCTCTGAAGAAAAGGAAAAGAAGAAGAAGATCCAGAAGAGAAGAGAAAGAGTTCTTTCTCTTTCATTCTTTTCCCAATGCATCTCTTCCTTCTAGATCCATTTTTGTTCAGCCTCCCCAGTTTGATATTTCTTTAAACAAAAATTAGTGAATAGCATAATAATAATTATTTCTTTGCCTTAAAATTCATGAGCTTCTCAAAGGATCCTTGACTTTCAGCATCCTTGTTGCTACCATTAAGAAAGTTAGACACTCGAGATCTTTCTAGCACTCTCAAAACACGTCCAGGGAGATAATGGATCTGAAAAGTTTTCTTTAGATCTTCCTAACATACCTAAAGCTCTTAAATGGGATTCGAGTTGATGGTATAAAGCAGTCAAATCTATAAATTTCCTATCATTTACAACATTTTTCATTGCACTTGTAATTCACAAACGTACACTTGCACAAACAAATCTTCTTTGCCAAATCTTTCCTTCGATAATTCAGCCGCTTTGGGGTAATTCTGACCCGTTAGGGAAGGGGAAATCTCTATTAAACTGGCAGCTCGAAACCTAGGAGAAATTACCTCAATCAAATATTGGAACTTATCTTCAGCCGGCATGTCTTCATACTCACAAATTCTGGAATCTGATTCCAAAATAACAAAAAAGATTTAATACAACCATTAAATCTTTGAATTTCCAAATTTTGGCAAACCGTTACTTTCTATTATAAGGGGACTTGAACCGATCTGTCATCAGAATTTGTTTTCAAAATTTTGAACCTTTAATTTAAGAGAAAAGTACTGTTCCCTATAATTTTCATCAGCTTCGTTGAAATCTTTTTTGCCTTCGCTCGCTTTAAGTGTGAATTAAATTCGCGAAGTCTGGAAACATTCACTTTCATTTCCGTATTTTCTTTCGGTAATAGCCTTTGTCATATTCTTAAGTGCTATAAGTGATGTTACGATATAACTTTAAAGCATCCAAAATAAAATATCAAAGCTCATGAGAAACTAAAGGGCAAACATATTTAACGTCTAAATTCAAATCGTACCCCGCCCCCCCTTTTTTTTTTGACTTAATGGCTCTGCAACCTTGCTTACTAAATTCTATCTGTCACCGATAATTTAATTTGTTGTAACTCTTCAAGAGAAGGAACAATGAAAATTCTTATAGTTGTAAACTAATTATTTTATTTCGTACTAAAAGGCTTTCAAGGCTTAGATATTCTTATCATCATTAATTAGTCACAAAACATTTTCTTTATATAAAAACATGTCTTGCTGTTATGAATGTATACAAAATAAAACCAAATTAGAAAACCGATAACAATGAATATCGATACTCTACAGTTATCAACAATGTCATAGACGTCATCAAATTATAAGTCAACGTCGCCATAACAATCGTAATATAAATCAAGATCATGGCTTTGATTTTTATTCTTGACAGCCATAGTCATCATCTTCATTAAATTTCATTAAATGTCGCCGCCATCATCTTCATTAAATTCTAAATCAAGATCATTCTTATTAACATCAGTTACCGAAATATAAAATCAAAACCATCGTTTCCGTCCTCATCATCTTCATCAAAATCTAAACGAAGATCATCGTTATTAATATCAAATATAAAAATATATCGTCATGTTTTGTCAGTGGCGTAGCTAGGGTGGGGCAAGGGGGACATCTGTCCCCGGGTGCAGCATTCAAGTTGCGCCAAATTGATGCTACGAAATTTTTTAATGAAATTGTTTCCAAGAAAGGGGCGCAAATTTTCAGTTGCACACGGGCGCTGGAAACTCTAGCTACGCCCCTGTGTTTTGTCGTCATAAACATAAAAACATAGCTCAAGATAATTGCTTTCATTCTCGACTTCGTTCTCATAATAACCATCAATATAAATCACGATCATCACTTTCGTCTTAATCATAGTTGAAGTCATCATCTTAATCATAATATTTTGATCAAAATATAAACCAAGATTATCGTTATTAAAATTAACGTAGTCATAAAAATCGAAGTATAAAAATATTATTATGGTCACGTCATCCTCAAAATATAAATCAAGATCGTGGTATCCTCTGCCTGTTTCTTCATTAACAAAATCATCATTATCTTAAAAAGACCTCCAAGAAGGTATCTGCTCTTTAAGCATTTAGCCCTCGCATGACTTGCCGTAATCCAAATAATCCAATCCACTATAATCATTTAAAGTTTATGAACTGTTGTACACAAATGCATTGTTTGAGAAATATTTTTGAAGCCTAAAAAATATCGTAATTCAATTCTGTTTTGGCATGCCATGAATCGTTCTTCTTCAATGATTTGGTTTGGTTTTGGTTGATCTAGTTATGGCAAAGCACTTCAGGGCTATTTGGCTAAGAGGATGGATGCTCTCGAGGAGGACTTAATAAGAGGAACTGGCTCGTATAGACGTTACACATAGGGAAAACCACGAAAAGGCCCTTCAGACTGTTCGTTCGCCAGGATTCAAAGCCCGAACCGAACTACCAGTGCTCAGCGACTTTATTACTCGGCTGCTGATAAGCCCTTCTTCATTGAAATAGTTCACGGAAAGGGAACGTTTAAAAAACATGGCAATAAAATGTACAATAATTAGTGAAAACTTGCTGTCATACCATGATATAGGAGACAAATGTACTCAATCTGTGATACATAAAAATATAACTAACTGGAGAATAGTCCTCGATTCCATGCTTTTCAAACTTGAAATTAATTGAAAATACACATTTTTTGATTGCATAATGTTAAGAATTAATAATATATTTGATTAAGTTCATTTTTTACATGAATAGTTTGAAATATAAATTTTACGTTTAAAGAAGAAAAAGAAAATAGTTTATAATATTTTAATTTCCGTTTTTGGTTCTAAAACATTTAGATTTTGTGTATGGCAGCAATGACATGTTAAAAGTAATATTTGGAAAAATTTAATGTTCAAACCTGTCTGAAATGAGAATTTGAGTATTAAAGGTAAGCAGTTATGAAATAAATAATAAAAATACTCTGTGGTTAAGTGATAAAATTTTCTAGCGGATTTATCAATACTTCCTTATTATAGTGGCCATCACATTTTATAACATTATAATTAATAATTAATGATTATAATGTAAATACATTCGCATTTATCATTCAGTGGCTAAAATTTGAAAACTCAGCCATCCAATCTGTAACATGTAAATTTTAAGTATCGCAAAAGGTTATGCAGTGGCTATTTGAATATGGAAGTATTGTTTTTAAAATTTTATAGAATATGTATCTAAATTCTATTCAGCCGTTAATATATTCATGAAATACCTTATTCATAGCTTCCCGGTTGAGGCTAGAAGTATGGCAACTTTCGGCCAAATATTTATGGGGAAAGTGCAGAATCGTCCACTGCTTGGCGCGTTTTTAAGAATTGCACATACTCGGTAACCATGTACACATCGATCTATTTTCACTTAAAAAACATCCCAGAATTGCACAAAAATGGCATTGCGCACTCCCTTGACTTTATCCATGTACACATTGATCTATTTGCACTTAAAAAGTCAAAGAAAATTGAAAAAAAAACTCCAATTCTTCTTACTCTTGTAAGAAGCGCCAAACAAACGCCAATCAAATATGTAGGTGATTCTGCACTTTAGCCGTATTTATTTTACTACAGTTATAAATGCAATACTTAACTAAGTTTGCTTTAAAGCTAGCTTAAAGCTTTAAAACAGGTTGATTACTTAAGCTTGCTTTAATACAGGAAAAGGGAATTTGTGTAAAATGATATATAAATATCGTCAACAACTGCCAAAGCCAACCTTGCACCTTCAACTGAAGATTTATTACCTTCTGCCCTGATCTTAAGATAGAAAGCTGATGGAAAGTGAATTTGTTTGGTACTTCGTTATTAATGTGGCGCCAGAAAAAAGATTCTGACGAAATTTAAAAGAAGCAAGTTAAAAATTTGGCAATTAAGTTTGTCATTTTTTGGCGACTGAATGTTGTGGCTGTTTTGATAAAAATTTGGCATGATCATTTATATTTATAGCCCGCAAGGACTATCTGGAAAAGCGGAAAGAGGCCTGTGTAAAGGATTTTCACAAGAAAACAGGCGTGTATTCAAGTTACACATCGGGACAATCACGGAGATTCACATGCAGAGTCGTAGCTAGGGTTTTTAGCGCCCAGGGACAACTGAAGATTTCGCGCCCCCTACTGCTTGCCAAGGATGGAAAACATTTAATTCTAAAATGTCGTAACATCAGTTTGGCGCCCCTTGGATTCTGCGCCCGGGAACAGATGCCCCCTTGCCCCCTTTAGCTACGCCCCTGTTCACATGTAGCCTTATCGATTGTTGGGATTTGAGCCTTGATCCAAATAAGCAATTTCCAGCACTTTTCTCTCGGCGGTTAAGTGGGTTCCTGTAATAAGAAAGCATCGTTTACTTTCATAAATTTGGTATAACTTTGTTAGTTCATGAAATTTTTAAGCCATTTTTTTTTTTTTTTAATTTAGCCTCTTTTATGTAGAAATAAGCTCTGCATAGAAAACTCCGAAAAGAAACTTTCCAGAACTCTGTGCAGAATGTCTCTTATATCTTGAGAAAACTAAAAATTTTGGCATAATCCTAATGTACGGTACACACGGGATTTGGCAACTTTTGGGGACATTCGGGAAATGATACTGATTACAATCTGTATCAGCAGTTCTGGCAAGATTTGATAGGTTATTGTTTTTTTGAGTTGTTTATTGTATAGCCATTTTGCATCTGTGAGCGTAGCGGACTTTAAGTTTTAGCGATTTATAGCGATTCTTTTAGTCATGATAGTAGTATTTTTTGCTTATGATGAGCAGTAAACCCGTTATTTTGGTGTTGGCGACAATTTTCACAATATCGCCAAGGCCATACCGAATACTAGAATTTGGTCACTTTTTTAACTTCCTAAAAAGTGATAATGTTTTGTACACCAAAAGCTGAAATCTTGAGCTTCAAGTGTTTTCTTTTGACTCTAAATGGCAGCACTCCCCTATTGAATGTTCAGTATTTTGCTATTTTCAGTTTTTTGATATACATATATACATATACGTTTGGTATTGCCGATGCAATAAAAAAGGGAGTTAAGATGTTATAGCAGATCCTTGTTCCAAATTTCAACGTCCTACGCTAATCGTTTTTGAGTTAGGTGAGAGACATACATACGTAAGTACAAAGGTCGCGAAAAAAATCGCTTTTGGAAAAAAAGAGCCCTTTATTCTGTCCGTACGTACATGACACCAGAGGAAGAATTCAGACCTAGGCTTACATGGGTTATGCTTCAGCTCCATATTTTATTTAAAATCAACGATATAGCGATCACACAGCTCGAGACAGATTTGGCAGTACCCTTACAATCCCTGCTCAGCCAGAATGGACCACCGTAAAAACGGAGCTTCTAGTCCTGTGAAGGCAGTTAATCTTCCCACACTGTCCACTCGCCAACATATGGACGTAAAGTCCAAATCACATTATGTTTTGGCTATGAGGGACTTGACGGCAAAAGGGACAATTCTCAGAACCTGGACATTTCCAGGAAGCCCACGTAGCTAGGTTACCATTTTCATTTACTACAATTAGTTGAAGGCCAAACAGCAATCGATTATCGCTCAGACTGGGATCACCTGATCCTTCAGAAGCAGAACTTATGTCTGATTGGTTAATCTCTACACGGGACAGAGCTCCAACCGAAACACTTTCGGCGAAGTTTAAAAAAATTCCGCATAGCCGGTACATCGTTTTCGTAGCTAGGCGGGACTTTGCCTCCAGCGGAGCTGTTTTTGCTAGGAATCCTCCCGTGCTACCAGAATCTCGTTTCTCAGAATTGTCCTGTCTAGAATCGACCGTTGCTAGATGTGATAACCTCTTTATGAGTATATCTGTACGAACAGACATCAGGCAAAAAAAAAATCGCACAAATGGATTCGATAATCGTCCAAATGGATATTTCCTTTGAAATGTGGTACCCGAAATGTTTTGCGATTGCAATAATTCCTTTACTTCGTACAAGGAAGTAAAAATTAAAAAACCACCCTTACGGGCTCGATGATCGAAACTGAGCGGGGAGAAGGGAAGTTCTTGATATTATAGCAAGAAGGATGTTCTTTTTATATATTATCTAAAGCCTAAAATATAATTATTTCAAAAGAAGTAAATTTTCATTTTTCAGCTGAGTTACATTTCCTTATAACATTATGCTAGTTATTTACAGTATGATACAGTTTACGCATATAGTAATGTAATATTTGTTAAATTTTTTGATAAAATATTGAATTTAAATCACTTTCAAAAGCTTTTTTTTACATATTTTACATAAGTATGTTCAACTTGGCAGCATAATGAAAGGGTCTATGAACATAAATTTTATTTCTAAAATATTAAATTCGTATGAAAATTTTAGCATTTTTTTACTCCAAACTTAAATAAATACACTCAAGCTCCCACTTCTAAAGATACACATCAAAAGCATGCAAAAATATATTCAAAAAACAAAAATGAACAGTTGGTAGTTACATGGAAAACAATGTCTTAATGGGGTCAGTGATACAAAATATTGTTACGTACGTGTTGGTTCGTAATCGTTTGAATACATACAGAACCGATAACCGCTTGATAAAATTAATTTTCCCAAAAGAAACATTTCACAGATCTGGAACTTATCAGAAACGTACATGTACAGCTCTGCTCGGTATTACAGAGCACAGACAGTAGTTACCACTTCAAACTACTAATAACGTTAAACACAAGACAATATAAAAGCCTCATTGCGGAAGTTCCCTGAGAAATCTCTCAGTACTCTGAGCTAAACTGAAAACTGATGCTCTCTCTCCGAATCCTCTTTATATAATTTTCTCCCATCTGCCGAGAAATTTCCAGTACTTTCGATTTCTCGAAATTGCTGGAAAGAGTACAGTTACATAGGAAAGGATCAGTTACAGATATACAAAGATTGGACCAAAACGTCTTCAAGTTTGGCGATTTCTCGCAAAACTATCGCTAGCTTGCCATAGCCATTTACCTCAATTTTAAATGAATAGCCTTATTTTTCCGGTGGAGCTTTACTTTCTTAATGAATTTCCGGTTACATTTTACAAGAAAATATTACAATTTACATATAATTTCACTAAAATTATTTGCGTATATACAAAATTCATAACAGCATATACTAGCTCTTAAAATTCCGGATTTTATTCTAGATTTCTTTGAAGCCTTAATTGTGGTTTCTTAGGATCTATAAATTACAATTCATGGAAAGGTTTACCATAGTTTTAATTCTTTTACATAGCACTTCTGAAAGGGTTAAGCCACACGGCAGCAATTATAATTTATAACAGTCATTGATGACTTTTGATTACAGTGCTGCCAAACCTAGTTTAAAAATGTATAAGAGAGTTTATTCCTTAATATCTCGTTAACAGTTGTCAACAAAAGACCTCTCACAGCGGCCACTTCCAGAGTATCTCGAACTGACCAGTATTTTCTGGAAAGCAAACAGATTAAATGCATCAATGGTAGTCATTTTTTCTATGGCGATCACCTCTGTGAGGACCACCTGCTTGAAACTACAGGTGGTCGTTTTTGTAAAGTTTCAGCGCATAATTTCTAAGAACAGAAAAAAAAATTAATGGATAGGAGAATGTGATGAAATTTAAAATGTCATGATCTTTTTCAATTTTTTACTTTCAAATAAAATGAATTAATGAATATATTATCTTACTGAGGTAATAAACAATTTTTGATTGTTTATCATTCTTTAATTAAGAAAGCTTGTGTTTCCAGACCATTATGTGATCACGCGAGCCCTGACGGCCGCTTAATCAACGTCTGATAATATTATCAGATGAACTTAAATTTTTATATCATTTTCAGAAGTCAAGCTACAATGAATAAAAGATCAAGTAATTATTAGGAAGGTAAGGTTCAAGATGTGTGAATGCATTCCTCAAGATTACCGTCGACCAGCTATTTGGGTTGCTTCAATGCGGGGTAATGTTCCACCCCATGCCGTATGTGGAGGAGAAGCATTTGGCAACATTCTTTATGTATGCCGAGTCAATCATTTCGGAGAAACTATCATTGGTAAACTTCTACCTTGTAATGGCTGCTGTTATATAGGATGGAAGGGAAATGAATATGCTTATTATGAATATGAAGTATTATGTAATCCAGATAATATAGAACTCTCTTGGCAATGGTACAAAGGCGGAGAAATGCCTCACGGAGTCCTGCAAGGTGGATGTTCTCGTGAAGGAGAATGCCTGTATATTGGAAGAAGATGGCAAGAAGGAACTGTTGGTATAGGTACAGTTGTACCCAGCCGTAAATGCCTCTTTGCATCTTTCTTTGGAAAGGTATACTCGTACTGTGAGTTCGAAATTCTGGTTTGTGAATCCATTATCTTTTAAAAGAAAAGAATCTTTTACGTAACTGGTTACACATTTTAAATGCTTTGTTTTTTAAATTACACATTAAAATTTTACTTATTGGCTAGAAGAGAAGTTACAGAACAGAATCTTAGAATGCCTGATTTATTGACAGCATGACTATAAAATTCCACGAATGGCCATAATTTTATAAAGTAATAACTATAAAATGTGATTCATGTGTGAAGCACTACTGAATTTTGTTCATCTACTTTGAATAAGGTAGTTTATGTACACAAATCACGGGACAACTCTTTTTTGGACTGATTAAAAAAGACTACAACTAAAAGTTTTTCAAAATTTAATCTGCAAAATAATAAGAAATTCATTTGCATATTGCTGCAGCATTCAAATTTTTTTTTATATGTCAATGATTAAAAATTTGCATATGCTGTCTTTTCTCATTTTGGATAACTTATTCTTCTTTCTCCAATTGCATGTTTAGGAAAATATATACGTAATTAAAATAAGAATGTGAAATTGTGACTTTCATATTTACACTATCCGGCAATGAAAATGCAACACCAGGAAGGAGTGGTCAAAAAGTGATGAAACTCCGTAAAAAGAGAGAAGCAGCAACGAATAATAAATGTTCTTTATTTCAAAATGATTTGCGCAATACAGAGCGAGAACAGCGTCAGCTCAGTAGGTTATGGTTATGCGCCACTGACCAGGCTTCCTACCTAAAGTAAAACCGAACGGAATGATGATTGATCAGTGGAAAAAACAACAAGCAGCCAGCACAACAGGGTAGTGGCTGGAAGCCCGAACGCCGTTAATTGTTCTTAACTAGGAACGTTAGAGAAAAGTAGTTTACGAAAATGATTACAAAGATGTCTTGCATAACTTGCTACATACGATACATAAGCCATGTAAAGTTAGGTTACAATAATCTTGAGTGGACTGTCCCATAATGCAACATATATACATTGAATACGTAAAAGTTGTGCCAATTTCTGTATGCGTTAGAAATCCATTAATGAGATTACACAGATATATATTTTAAAGCTATTAAAGTCCATGAAATGATAATAGATGCATTTCTATATGTGATGTGTTACATCTAGTAATAGAATAGTGTAATATATTTCGTGATCATTAATCAAGTATCCATACTTCCTGTAGGTAATTACATTATGTGAACCGTCACAGATAATATAATTAGTACTTTAATACATTCTTTTCTGTTAGAATTTCATATTGTGAACCAACATAATATTATAGACCTGGTATACTTGGAATCATATACTATAATGCAGTGATTAAATATGACATGACAGTAAGCTAAACATCAATGCATGACATAATAGTACAACAATAAAGTGCATTTAATGATAAGATATATGAATACGTTAGTCTATAGTATTGTACAGTATTAATATTATGAAATGGAGCAATATAAAGTAATATGTGAAATATTTTTAAAACGGTAATTTAATGCACTATTACAAGTGACGCATTACATTTTATGTTGATTTACATAATAACTATAGTAATGTAAGGTATTTTATAATGCATAAATAGTTATTTAAGAATGATGCTAATAGGTGACACATGAGTGAAACAAAAAAATAAATAAATAAATAAATAAAGTAACAGAGTGTATTAGGTGATTACATTCGGTGCTTTAAACAGTGCCCTACTTACCCTACACGTACCGTTACATTATTCACAAATCAGATTTTCTTAACGTGAATCATCACAAAAGGGAAAACTTATTTCTTCTAAAACCCGACAAGTAACGTTATGCAAAACATCACAGCGAGTAAAGCGTTACATGAAATGATTCAATGGGATAGTAATAATATATGTAAAATCACAGATGTGATTATAATTGAAAAAGATACTTAATGCAGGATTCAGTAACAATATGCAAAGTACTATAGTAATTAAATGAATACATGAAGCGATTCAATAATACATTAGTACTATAAATTCTATGACAGATATGATACAAATAACAGAGCCATGCCTACATATTTTTTCACCTGAGGCAAAGCGGGAAATGTGAGACTTTTGTTTACAATGCAAGATTATTTATTTACCTATTTGTGGTGGTGGAGAAAGAATAAATAAATAATATTAATTGATGTTTGAAAACATAACATTATACAAACACGAGCAAAATATGTATATATGTATATGCATTATTGCATATATATACGTATAATCATATGTATAAAAACAAATTAACTATATTTATATAGATTTTATGCTCATTAAAAGTAACTGTTTTAAGTGAAAATGCTATAACTCTTACAGTAATATTTAATTATAACTTTGCGTATTCCACGAAGTGAAACATATATAATGATCAACAATTTTGAAATGGAAAACATTAAAAATATGCTTTTTGAAAAATGCCATATTAAGTAGTATAAATAAAACATCTGCTCAATTTATGCATTTTCAAGCATATTTATAATTTTATATATAAATTTCCATTATAATTTTGTTCTGAAGGTAATCGTAAATGAAAATTTTTGGTATGAATGCAATTAAAAGTGTAGTGATCGGGTCATCCCTGATGACCACAGTTGCATAAGTCATTCTCTGATAGGCCTATTCTATTTAAGTAAGTCATAAAAGGTTCATGACTAGTTGTATAACTCGTGATTGTATTAGAGAACGTAGATAAATCTGTAGGAACTTTGGGAAAGTACTTGTATGTTCTGCGAACCGTTGTACCGTTATTCCAGCCAAGTTGACGTTCTTGTAACATACTCATGAATGTTTCTTTCTTTAGAAAAGATCCTGGTATTGCATATTCTGGTAGATGTAAGCCCATTACCGCACTTTTTGGTTAATTTGTCTGCTTGCTCATTCCCTATTATTCTTGTATGTGCTGGTACCCAGTATAAGCTCGGTTTTAGTTCTAATAGAGATTTGAGCAGGAGGTTTAGAATTTCAAATAAAAGGGCTCCTTGATTGTATTCCAGCAATGGGTTTAATTCTTAATTAAGAATCGGTGCAGACTAGAACTCTATTTGAAAATCGAATTGAAATTAGAAGTGCTTTTTTTTTTATTTCGGTTAACTCGGCCTGGAAAATTGAATTATTTGAACTGAGTCTTCTTCTCCATCTGTGAACAGTCTCGTTACCCTGTAAAACACAAAATCCACATCTTGTTCCAGCATCGAATCTAGAACCAACTGCGTAAATTGTAAGATCTTTGGGAAAATAATTAATGAACTTAGTATTGGCGCTTGAATGTAAATCATTGACAGCTGGATGAGAAAGGAGTTCTGGCATTTTTCATTCATAATCAGTAGGATAGTAAGATTGATTCCATAAAGTATTGTTTACTTTTGAGCGAAAGACTCAAGAGAGAAATGCCGCTGTTGGTGCTGTGCGATATCCTCTGCGCTGATGTGAAGAAAGGACATCCTCTTTATAGAATTTAATAATCGACGAGCATGTTTAGTTAGATTAACTGTCCAGATTCGAGCACAGTAAAGGACAATTTTTTCGATGATCTATTATAATTTTCATAGGTGGGAGCAAGTTTCCCAAGATTTTCCTGCGTTCTTTTCATATGATTATTTATGATAATAACCCTACTTTTCACTTGCTTCAGGTGTGGAATCTAAGATAGTTGGGTGTCTAAAACCAGACCTAGATACTTAATTTGATTACTGAATTTAATCGATTGTCCTTGTAATTTCAGAGGTAGGATTCTTTCTAAGGGTCTTTCTGCACCTATTATCATTGACGAAGTATTTGAAGGAGATAATTGTAATGTTGTGTTTACGAATCCAATTATTATATATATCAAAACAGAACTGAGATGTCGATTGTAGTTTTGACTTCTCATGTAGGACTATTAGGAAGTCGCCTGCATAGGCAATTATTTCACCTTCTTGGAAGTGTCTGATTTCTTGAAGAATCGAATTGGCGAACTATGGTCCAAAGTATCGGTCCTAAGCAAGAGCCCTGACGGCATCCTCTTTGAAGCCTTCTGGTTACAATATCTGAGTCTATTGTAATCTGTATTCTATCTTGGAGATAGCTCCTGACCAAATCAATAAGATCAGATGTACATCCCATAATGACCAAAGCATTTATTATGTCCGGCCACCATAAAAGGAGTCAAAAGCTCCTTGAATGTCCATGATAATGATTAAAGGGTGCTGTTGATTGTTTCTGTTATTCTGTAAGATTATTTGTAGGTGAGAAAGGGCATGTTCTGTCTATTTTTTCTAAAGAATCCAAATTGTGACTGATCTAAGATGACAATATAAATAAAATTGCAAGCGTCCTAAAATCATACGTTCTATTAACTTCCCCAAAGCTGGGAATAAACAGATAGGTCTGTATGAGGAAGCTTCTAAGAGGGTTTTACCTGCGTTATAAAAGAGAACGATCTCTGCACATTTGGAAGAAGTAGGAAAGAGTGACGCAATTTTTAGCCACATTGATGAAGACTAAAAGGAGGATGAAAGAAAGTTTGTAGATAATTTGTAAAATAACGTTATCAATACCATCAGGCTCAAGGCCTTTTTGGGTTTAAATGCTTGATGACTTTACCTAATTTAAAGTAATTTGGTACAGGTTTTCTGATGAAGGCGATGAAGATATATATGCATTGAAGTTTTCTTTAATAATAGATTGAGTCGCTGTATCGTCTTCTGGGTTATCATCCTTGAAAGTTGCAGATATTAAAATGCGACTGTTATCTGTTGGTTTTTTTTTTAGTCTTTGGTTGTATTTGAGAGACAAAAGTAGTTGGCCAAATGATCTAGATCATAGCTACCTTAAAAGAGTAATTCAAAAGAATCTTTTGTATTTTGACAAAATGTGAGCCAAAAATGTAGTTTTGCTTCTTTCATTTGTCACTTATAATCTGCTTGAGATTTTTTTATATTGAACAAATAAAGCTTGAGGTTCAAGGGAACGAGCAGCCTGAGCTTTTCGTCGTAGTTTCTGTAAAGCTGTTCTTTTTTAACAGTTTATCTGTCCACCAGGGAGCACTGGATCTATTGCGAAATGTTTTTATTCTGAAGGACCGTTGACATGCTGATTGGCATATATTTATGAGCTGATCATAAGCTTGATCAAGATCTGCTACTATACGGCAGTTTTGAAAACTTTAAGTGAGAGAATCTACATAGGGACTAAGGTAAATTCTGAGTTTTCCTAGGCAACCAAATGATGTTTTAAAGCGTCGTTTTGTCAAAGTATTAATTATAGTGCTTAAACTAAATTATATTGCTGCCCGATCACTTAAAGTAATATAATCTGAAATCATCTAATCTTGAATTAAAGTGACAACAGCAGAATTGGCAAATGTAACATCCGACCAACCCTACGCCCGTTGAATTAACAATAAAAAAAAAATATG